GAAAAATCAGTGAATGGTGAATATTATTATCTATGAGTAAAGCTTATAGTTAAACTGTTAATGCATATAATATATGGTTCTTTTGATAGACACTCACCAGTCGATTACTGAGCACAGAACACATAAGAGTACAGAACAAAATGAAAATAGTGAGTATGCGTTGTTATTAATAGTGAGATGATTTTGAGAAATAGTAGAGTTTTAAAATGTTGTTGGCTAATATATATAGCAACAAATGGTAGCAACAAATTGTTAAAAAATATGTTTAATATGTAAATTATAATAGACTATATAATTTTAATTTTTATAGATGTTTTGAATTCTACGTCAGCTACAAATTCAGTTGTAGTAAGCAAAGAAGATTTTTCAAAATATCAATCGATAAATTCGAGTAAGTAAATTATGTTTCTATAGCAATATTATTTTTTTATATTTTTATTTACATATATATTTGTGTGGAATATTAGCAACTTATTGATTTTTAAATTTCAGAATATTACGAAGAAGTGTTGAAGGAAATAAATTTACTACATTTAAAAGTTCATGATATATTGGATAGCGTCAACATTCTTGTTAAAAATACGAAAGTAAACACCGAAACTCGCATAAATAATGATAGGTCGGAAGTTTTAAAAATCATACATTTGTTTCCGATGAACGAAGAATCATTAATTGAGGTGGAAGATTGGATTAACGCATCAGTAGATAATAAAGTAGCATTGGTATGAATAAATTTCCTATCAATTGTTATGAATTTTTTATTTTTGTAATAACGACTAAATATGTACTTAAATTTAATATCGATCTTTCTGTAATAATTTTTACTTAAAAAGTTGATTATATTTTAGACTGAAGAATTGAGTCGTATAGGAGGATCCAACTTAAAAGAGTTGATTAAAAGAATAATGTATAGAATACTACTAAATGAAGTCGGAATGTTGTACTCTTGGGAAGGTGCAAAAAAGAAAAAAGTATTCAAAAATTTAAGCATTGCAGCTGTTATTTTAGGTAATGATATTAAGCTAAATAGAAATTGGAATAATTAAAAATAATTAAAAATTATATGAAAATACACAGTAATTGTTTCATGATTTTCAGATGTCATTCGTAAAAGCTCTAAATTTCAAGACGCCACTGAACTCGAGGCAATAAATCACATAAAATCTTGGCTCGTCAGAAGTAAGGATCGATACATTAATGGACAGAAAAAATCCAATCAAGTTCAATCCAATAGTCCTGACAGCTAGATACGTAACTATCTGCACTGTTAACGTACTTTATCATATTAAACGTATGTCAAGCTTTTTCTTTTTTGAACAGACTGATAGTTTAGTTTCATGTTAACAGTGTTACTGCTTCTATATAGATTATTACATATCTAAAATTGTTTTCACGTAATCTCATTTTTTATTTTTTATAATTTTAATATTTTATCTTTAATATAAAACGTTAAACTGTAAAATATAGATTTTTTTAGTTTAAAACAAGTTTTACTCAACGGTTGTGTAGAATAGCCATCATTTATAATAATTATAATTATAAAGCTCATATTATTTTTTAGTATGTATGTTCAATATTTCGAATAAAAATGAATAAAATAAAAAGTTTACGAGAGAAACGTTATAGATATATTAGAAAAAAAGTAAAGCAATCTCTAGCAATTATTAACAGTACTTATCAATTTCATGTTCAACATTTAACAGTTGAGAATCAAATAGAGAAAATCGACAGTTACAATTACTCAAATAATAAAATTGATTTTAATTTTGATATTGATAATTTTGATATTGATAATTTGACGTTCAACGAACAACCCACTCATAATTCTGATAGCATAATTACAAATACAAGTTTGTGTTCGGATCATGTTGAAAATAGTGAGCAGTTATCTTCAAAAATTGCTAAATGGGCTGTGGAAAGCAATATTAGTTTGTCTGCATTGGGAAAGCTGCTTACTATTCTGCGCGAAGATCCTTCTTATTGCACCAATAATTTACCGGCTGATCCTCGCACTCTTTTAAAAACGCCTAACAAATCATATGGTAAAAAATTGGGATCTGGTTTATTTCACTATTTCGGGATAGCTGAAACATTAAATTCTTTATGCGTTACCCTTAATATAAATGTAACATCCAGCACAAAGTTTTTTCTTGCAGTTAATATTGATGGGCTACCTTTGAGTAAAAGTTCTGCAATTTCGTTTTGGCCTATTTTGTGTTCCGTCAAATCAATTGAAGCTCTTAAAAATAAAGTTTTCTTAGTAGCTCTTTATCAAGGAAATGAAAAACCGAATCCCAATGATTTTTTACTTGATTTTGTTAATGAATGTGCAAAGTTAACAACAAATGGCATATTAATTAAAAATGTTACA